ATGTTTAGTAATCCATATGCAAATAATAGCAAGTGTTTGCTATACAGATCTTCTATACACACTTACATATTTAAAAGACCATTTAGGTTAATTAATTTGGTCTTCAGTCACTGTTTGTTCTCCATCTGCACAGTTTTGTAATCATATTACAACAACCTGTGCTTTAACTCTCTTTCTCAACCTTGGACTCCCTATTTATGACGTAAAGTTACTGACACAAAGTTCAAATGATTTGCAACGGTCGCTTTGTCGCGTCCAGTGTAGACAGACTCAGCGCGGCGCGACAACTGTCGCATACGGGGTAGAGAGTCTCACCTGTGGGGATGCCCAGGTCTTTGCTTCCCCGTCCGAATCCGCGGACGACCTGTCCCCGACAGAAATACGGCAAACTCCTCATGTCGACGCGTTCAAAGAGATCCGGGGATCCAGAGCTGGTGCGGACAGAGAGTCTGCTGATTCTAGACTCTTCTCTCTTATCTAATGTGCCCGTTTACCCAGGGAATAACCGTTTTATAACGAAGAGCCGTTCAGTTTCGGTCCCAGCCTTTGTGAATCTTTAGATGAAATGGAGGAGTGATATCCTCTGGGATACAGCAGGTCGGTAGGTTGATTTCTACCGTAATGTGACCGGTTGGTCGACTGAAAGTGTCGCACTCATCATCATACAGCAGTTCTTTCCCCAACGACCTTCGCCGACGTATTTCCTTTAGCGTATATTCAAAATAAAAGTCCTACATTTTTTTAACTTCATCAACTGGAACTGAATGTAATTGTAACTAAATCACTAGTATTTTATGTGCAAAGAAATAATTAAGCTCGCACGATTTAAGTGACTAGACAAAAATAATAATTAGTAGATAGTTTTGTCCAGGAATAATAAAGTAGGCTGCAACAACCCTACATACCTTCCCAACTCCTGCTGCCTGTCATCACGTGACAAAATATGATTTTTCAATACCTTTTATATTGTATTCACGTTTACATGCTATAAACTATTTAATTACCTCACTGTATAAATAGCTCTAGTATGACTCTGAATGATGAAATTGTATGTGAACGGTTTTTATTCATATTTATATACTGTTTGATTGATAAATTATTATGCCAAACCACCAAGTAACAAATAATGTACTTCTGCAATTTCTCATTATGTTGCAACTATCCGATCTGGGTGGACATTAGTGGAAGGTTTAATCCACAGTCCGTCGTTTTCAACGAGAAGGTCATGCCTTTAGTCAGTGATCAGAAGGTGTCGCCATTGTCTGCAGGTGCGGAGTATCATTTGCGTCTGTAGCACCAGATCTGTCGCGCTTTTATATAATACTCTTGTATATAATAGCTTTTCCTTGCATTATATCTTAAATTAAATTGATTAATTTATCTATTAATTTAATTCAATTTAAAACATAGATGCAATCCCAAAATATTTGGCTCTGGAGATGCACAAAACCTGGTTATACTTGGCTATATATTCCTAATGAATAATTAAGTTAAAGCAAAAATACAGTTGCATTATATTTAGCTCCCATGTTGTAAAGTCCTTAGTCCACTGTTTTAACACTCAAAGAAATAATAAGGAAGAAGAAAAAAAATGCAGAAAATAGACCCAGAAAAGATATCGATATAATTGTTTTTCATCAAAATTAAAATATTTTTACGGTATATATTCGGGATATTCAGATTTAGGAAATTCCTATATTGTGTGAACTGTCATTTAACAGATTAAAACCAAATAAATAAAAATCACATTTTGCAATATTAGACTATTCATAATTTATAATTTTATATATTTATGTTGGATATAAACCTTTTTCAAGGTTTAATTAAATTGAACAAACAACATATTTTCCTCACAATGAACATCCTGCGAGTGATGTAAGTAAGCCTAAATAACCATGCATACATAACAATAATGCTCCATTATAACACTGTAGTTGACGTCATAAAAACCCTGTGCTAATTTTAAAACCATTTTATACTTGATACTGATTGGTCAGACACAAAGAGCTAAATGAGTGAGAACTTACAATAGAAGAAGAGATGTTACATTATAGCTAGGCTATATATACTACCCATTTAGGCTATATTATTGTTTTGCAACAATGATCAGCAGACTGTACATTCATTATCCCTTACATAGGGATTTTTTCATGCTCTTAGCATGAAATTAAAGAGCTAAATGAGTGAGAACTTACAATAGAAGAAGAGATGTTACATTATAGCTAGGCTATATATACTGCCCAAATAGTCCATAGAAAAAGTAACTTATAAACACAGATAAATTAATTTTGTAATTTAGGCTATATTATTGTTTTGCAACAATGATCAGCAGACTGTACATTATCCCTTACATAGGGATTTTTTCATGCTCTTAGCATGAAATGGACTTTTTTTTACTGTTGTAGAAAAGTAATGTGCATCACTTATTGCTAATTTGAAAAAGTAGCCTAACTAGCCATAACGTTTTATGAATGATTTATTTATTAAATGTTTACATTTTTCTCTTAAAGCTGCGGTGAAAGCAAGGACAGATTTTTTTAAATTTTATTTTATTTTTTTAAGGCCTTAGATTTGAGTCTATTCATCGGTCATTGATTGGATCTTGAGATGTGGGCGTTGCACTCGAAAATGGCCGTGAGTTTGCAGTGGATTGTGGAGGGGCGGGGTTTAGGCAAACTAAATGATTGAAGAAGTCCAGCATGCAAGTCACTACTAGAGAGAAGACTGTCATTTTCACCATTACAAGGACAGAACAGGTGAATTTAAACAAGCACCAAACTTTCCCCAGTTGAGTAATTACAGGACATTAGTTGTTTTGGATTACAAGTTTATTTTTAAATATGCGCATGAGGCATTGTCTCATTAAATATGCAATTTGTGCACATTTCCAGAACAGAAATCTGAACATTGGATAAAGCCAAGTTTAACATTCGTTTCATTTTATTGACATCTTAGAGTTAAAGGTTTTTACATACTGTCGGTTATATCTCTTTATCACTCAAAAATACTGTCATCAACAAGGAAAAAAACATTTTCACCATATTTTTTAAGGAATAAAATGTTATATAAATCAAGTGAATATGTTATATGAAAAATAAACTTCAGACTATAAATAGAAATAAACTGTAAAGTTTGGTGTAAGTGCTCATATACAGAGTATGTTTTGAAATTTAAATCTATGTAAATGGATGACATGTAATACACATAACATAAACACTCAAATGTGTATTTTGGATGTCTTCCTTTCACTAGTCTGAAAGAAGACAAGTTATGGAAGCAAAATCTCAAAAATTTGGGACCAGTTCCTGAAACGTGTCTTGCCTTAAAAAAATGAAACATACATGGATGAATTGTTCACAATAAAATATATACATTACATTTACAAAATACATAATTTTAATTTGTGCAACTTTAAGGTGGCTTAATACAAATGTGTTTTTAATTTTTTTTGGAGGGGATATAGTTATCGGTGTACTTACTGTATGTGTGTTTACATGTGTTTCTGGTCATAATTTTTTAATGATTTAGAATTGCATATAACATGATAAAACCACAGGACATTTATCTGACATCATCTGGCCACACCTGATAAAAAATATATAACTTTTCCCACAAACTGATGAAGCCGCCCTTAGCTACAACTCATCGGTTCACTCAAAAATTAAAATGCTGTAATTATTTACCCAGCCTCATATCACCCCCATCAATGTGCAAGTGAAACTAAAGCAAGTTGCTCCAAAAAAGATCAATTCCTCCAAAAAGGAAGCGTCCTGTCAGGGCCGGGTCAGTCTGTGACAGCGATGAACTTCCACACACCCACACTCAGAGCGTGAGACTCACTGGCAGTGGCTGCTACACAACAGTAATGAAGCAGGTAATGCAAGCTTAATGAAGCATAAACACATTTAAACACAGCTACACAGGAGAGATTAACAGCTTGTATACTCACATTATACACCCACCCCAACATTATTACAACAGCAGTGCCCCCCATCTCTCTAGCTCTCTCTTAGTTTCCCCTCACACACACACTGACTCCTCAAACACACCTGTGAATAAACCTTCAGCTGCTATGATAGTCTCTCAACATCTGTTCGTCTTTGCCCTGTTCGCCTGCTGCAGCTACAGCGCGGCTACTAGATGCTCACATGCTGATAGATGCTGATAATATGGGCAAACATCCTCGGTAGATTTGTTTAATGTTTTGACTGCATCTTCTTTGGGCTGTTGCCTTTTTTTATTTGACAGAGATTATGGAGAGAGAGAAGGGAAATCGGATTGGGACAGGTTGCAGGCCAGATTCGAACCTGCGTCAGCCATGTGAGCACCAAAGCACAACACTTCTAAACAGAATGTGATGTGAGCTTGCAGGGTTTAAGCAGGCTAAATGATTTGAGAAACCGATTTTACCAATACGAGATCATAAAAGGTGAATAGGATATTTGTTTAAAGGAATAGATATGACCGTACTTTCCCCAGCTGATTGATCACAGTAAATTAAGACAATTGTTTTGTATCGCAATTTTAAATATGCAAATGAGGCATCATATTTGCATATTTATGTACTCATTTGCATACATTTAAAAAAACAGAAATCTGAACATTAGATAAAGCCAGGTTCAAAATCGTTTCATTCTCTGGACACATTAGCGTTTAAGGTTTTTACAGCATATTAGATATCTCTTTTGATGAATATGAAAATACTGTTGTATTTTTAGGTATAAAATGTAAAATCACAAATGATTGATTGTGCTAATGACAGACAGGGCAAATGTCCTCAGTAGATTTGTTTAATGGGTATCACTTTAGTTTAGGGACCAATTCTCACTATTAACTTGCTTATTAGCGAGCATGCTACTGTTTACTAGTACTTATAAAGCACATATTAATGCCTTATTCTACATTAGAATTGGTCCCCAAACTAAAGTGTGACCATTTAATGTTTTTGACTATATATTCTTTTGCCTTTTTTATTAGACAGTGATCATGGAGAATGAAAGGAAACTGGATCAAGACAGGTTGCAGGCCAGAATCGAACCTGTCACCCATGTGAGCACCAAAGCTCAACATTTCTGACATGATTATGGCTTTGATGACACCATCATGTTCTGGAAAAAAAAAACAGCCCAGATACATCAGGATTTAAGCTGTGTAAGTTGTGTTTTTCATTTTTCGTGCATCATCTGTACATCATAGGTGGTAAATACTGACATTCTGTTCAAAAATATATCCATTTATGAAATATTATGAAATTAAGATATATTGGAGGTCATAAAAAACTCTCGGGCTGTAATACTGAAGGTAAACTGGAATTCATGAATATTACTGTCGTCCTTTAAGTACACTCGTGAAGAAGTGCATTAAAAGTTGCCCCCTCTCTGTGCAAAGTGTACAAAGTGCACTAGATGAAAAAGTACAAGTGCCACAGCACAGAGGGGGTACAGAAAGCCAGACTTTTTGATTAATACTCCTCTAAATTAACTGTTTACTCTACAGACTCTTAACATTCCCAGATTATGATAATTTTGTGACAGGCAGAGAGATTGATGTTTGAGAGCTTGTTTTAATTAATGGTTTTGTTTGTCTCCGGAGAATGGATTTTTTTTGTTCTTATTCATGGTTGCTTTTGAACACTTTTTTAAAGAAGCTTTACAGCGAAGTAATGGGACCCCCATGTGTGTTTTGAATAGAAGTGAAAAAGTGTCTACAATGATTATTTCGTG